CTTTAAATTAATTTATTTCACGTTTAGAAGAGCCGAGCCTAAAATAAATTAAAAAAAATAATAATATTTTACGTGATCTTCTAATTGTTCCTCTTCTCTTTATTGGTTTTGCCTTTCACATCGGGTATAATTACATTTGTGATATCATCTAATATTTCTTGAAAAGAGTAATATAAATTTGCGTGCGAGCTTATCTCTCGCTAATGTAATAAAAAACCAGAGATGCCTGTCGGAGTGGCTTTTAATAACACGACAAATTCATTATTGTAAATATATAGATAACCATTCAAATATTAACAAGCAATACATAGCAGAGCATCGCGTGTTAAAGAAGATATAATGAAAATTATTTGGATAAAATAACTTCTTCCTCGATCCTTTCACAATCTTAGCTTTTTTTTTCTTACATTTCTGCATTTCTTGTAATTTTTTTTACTTTGAATTGTTAATACCGAGCATTTTTTATATTGCGAATATATGCCTTAAATCGAATAAAATTAGCTTTAAAAAAAATAAAAAAATGGTGAATTTGGCGACGAGACACCACTTGTATTTCTTAACATAAAAATATCCGACATATCTATACATCATAGATATAATATTAATATTTTATAAAATTACATAAAAAGTCGATTTGTGTCATAAGTAAACTGCACGCATAATTAATGCAGATACATTCATCCTAATTGGTCAATGTAGGACGTCTCAGGGTGTGCCGCAACAGGGTGTGACCTCGGATTAAGGATTATCCGCGGACAGGAAGGAATTAAAATCTCGTGGAAATGTGTCAAACTAAGAAAATGGAAAAAATCAAACTGAACTCTTCACAGTTACTCGCGTGACTTATGGAAGTTCATGATCTCTCGAAGACAGTAATTGGTGTTTTTCACCGTTCGTAGATGAGCCCATCATTCCCGTCGCACTCGCAACCATCAATCAGTCGACGGTCAATTATATTTGGTACTGCTGAGTGTCAGCAAAACGAGAATCTCGACGAAGAAGATCAAAGATCACAAAGCGAACGAACGAACGAACGAACGAACGCGCGGCACATGTCCAACATTGGTTAGTGAAGATAATTTTCTCTTAATGAAGAAATGTCGATAGCCTTGGGATAGTCAGTGATGGAGAAGTCTAAATTTCTTTGATAAATTTATTTCTTATTTAACGTATGTTTAACAACTTTTAATGGCCCAACAAGTGGCGTCCGAGCGAGCGAGTCCGAATGGAAGCTCGCAAAATCCGACACCGATCTTGAAGTCAATCGCGGACAACGATGAGACTGAAGATGATTACTCGGAGTCAGCTTATGCAATTATGCGACAACAAAATTCACGACAGAACCGACGGAGACGATGTACGACGATGTTCGGCGTTGACAATGTCGACGGCATCGCGCGTCCTCAATCTTCGATCTGCACCATGAGCTGGGAAGAGTTAGTTTAGTTTAATATTCACGACTTCGAAAAAGTTACAGTAGATTCAAATCCATTATTTGTAACGTCTACTGTAAGCACGACTTCATCGAGAAAGTTACAAACTGAGATTAAACTAATTATGTAAAATAACTTAAAGTAAAAAATAATTTAAAATAAAGTAGCATCGAGATTTCACGGACTTTATCGAATTTGTCGAAGAAACATGTGTAAAAAGAATAATTTCTTTCTCTTAAATCAAAAATATATTTTAAATGATAATATTAAGACAAGGTAGTTCATTAGCTAAGTCTTGAATATTAATATTGTAATAGCACGATAACCTCCACGGAGGGAAGCGGTAACCAGGAGCAAATTTTCGAAAATCTCACCCTGCACCAGGAGGTTCTAAGCGGTGCGAAGCAACAGCCTTGGCCTCTCCGACGTAAGATCAAGCTTGTGCGACAAGCCAAAGCTTACGTCAGACGACACGAAGGCGCTCTGCAAGAAAGACTAGCCCAAAGTCACAGCACCAAAGACATCGTTACGCGCATCTCCTTTTTTATAACTAAGGTAGCGCCGCACATTATTGTGATTATGCTGTTGAAAAATCTAAAATTCTCAAAAGTCTCGGAATAATGTATCATTAGCGAGGATTACAATAGCCAGATTATTCGTTTAGAAATTGCAGTACTTCCGACGTGAGCTGATCGATCTGCAAATATGGCTCATACCTTGGGAATATCGTATCATGGAGATAGAATCGCATTTCGGCTCCGCCGTCGCGTCCTACTTCATCTTCCTCCGCTGGCTCTTCTGGATCAACTTCGTCATCGTGGCAACCCTTACTATGTTTATCGTGATACCCGGAGTAGAATTGAATTTCGTAGACGGAAAGCAGCTTTCCCCTCGGGAATATTAAAGATAAGTAATTTAAATTATTTAACTTTTTCTTTCTTCAGGTGTTAATTGCAAATGCAACTCCTGCCGGTGAGAGGAAGCTCATACGGGAAGAAAAGGACCTCGAGTCGATGGACTTTTCAACTTTATTGAATTTCGATGGCGTACTAAAGCACTCCCCGCTTTTCTACGGGTGGTACACCAATCAGGATTCGGACAGCAATTACAAATTACCTCTGGCATACTTCGTCACCAATTTGGTCGTGTACACGTATAGCTTCGCCGCAATTCTGCGCAAGTGCGGGACTTCTCATTACTATATTGTATCTCGATAGCACTTCTTTTTTCATTTGTAAATTTTGTAAATTTACAGCTCTTGTTTTTTCAAAAGCTTTAACTGTAAGAAATTATAGCGAAATCGATATAATGCGTAAGACGAATTATTCTCAAAAAAGATGTGCCATAGGCATAGTCAAAAATGAAATGATATATCATGGGACTGCTTTTTAAAAGAAGTAGAAAAATCCTGGAGATGCGATATGTTCTTCTGATAAAAGATAACGAAGCGCGGTAACTTGTTTCAGAATGGTGGAGAACTCACGTTTGAACAAATTGACCGAAAAGGAGGACGAATATGTCTTTTCGTGGAAACTCTTTACGGGATGGGACTTCATGATTGGTAATCCGGAAACCGCGTACAATCGTTCAGCCAGCATCGCGTTGACCTTCAAAGAGGATCTGTTGGAAGAAGCGGAGAAGCAAAAGGACAAAAGAAAGTGAGTGTTCTTTTAATAATATTTTAACCATTAGATGGACATTATAATGAAATTCAGCAATTACTTTCAATTTTTTTATATGCTTCATATATATACTGTCTGCCGTAGATTTTTGTTTGTATTTTTCACATAAGATTATCTTTTCCTGACTTTTCTTGAAACAAAATTTTTATATCCCATAGAGTAGAATGCACACAGTATATTTAATCATGTTTCATAGTTGGAGAATCATCTCGATAAGAATATTCGTGCACACAGTGGTGCTCTTATTATTCGTATTGTCGGTATATGCCGTACTCGAGGTAGTCAAACGGAGTCGTTTAACCACCACCGAATCAGACGGTTGGTGGCGACAGAATGAGATCACGATCGTGATGTCTTTGATCATGTACATGTTTCCGATATTCTTCGAGTGTCTCGGCTTCCTTGAGAACTACCACCCTAGGAAACAACTTCAGTTGCAACTGATGCGGTAAAAAAATTTCTTTTCTTAATAAATGACAAGATATATTTCATCATGCAACGATGCTTACAAACAATATGCAAATGATATATATACTCGGATGCTCTTTCGTTTTTAGAATAATGCTCCTGAATCTGCTGAATCTCTATACGCTAATATTCGCATTGACTCGTAAAATAAATTCTATGGTACGTAATTTGTTATCGTACGTGATTTAGAACGCGTGATAAAGAGTAATTATGATTGTACGACATACATTATTCTCACGGTTTTACTTATTTTATTTTATTTTTTTCTTGTTTCTTTTTTATTTAAATCTCGCTAATCTCACAGCAAATGTATCTCCTTCACAGAAACATAAGCTTCAAGATTTCAAAAAGAGACAAACGATTTGCATAAGAACATTAATAGATTGCAGATTTAAATTGACACCAACACAACTGATCACAATATTAAGCTTAACTTCCTTTTTAATACACAACGTCACTTTTCCTTACGATGAAAGAGAAACATCGGAGCTAGGTATGATGTTCGAATCAATTGAAATATATTTCCGATGGGCACATATGCTGCTTCCTAAGCTAATTACAAATCTTAAGAAATATATTAACAGTTCTATAATGAGACACATTACTTTAATAACGCTCACGAATTTTTGTAAAGTAGGAATCTGCTTCTGTATTAAAACAAAATTGCAGAAATAGCACGTGTGTTTTAGGAATTGATTTCATTTTCAACGATAAAACGTGCTTTCGAGATCTGGCAAAAATTCGATCGCAGCAGAATTGCTTTTATTTACCCTCATCAGAAGGAGGACCTGCTTCTTCGATCTTTTTAAATTTAATCATGCTGATTATTTGCAGATTACGATAATTACCAATACATAACTTCGGACGCAAGTGGCAACAACGCACTTTCTGTCACGTCTTATTATAAGGAGCAAAATTGGTGTACCAAAAGTGTAGACGATAGCGAAGTACGCTATGACCGAAGCTCCATTGATAATTTTCTGTCCGACTCGACGGCTGCTAAACATTTCTATACAGGTTCTAATTTATTCCAGAAGAACAGTGTTGAAAGAACGGTAGAGATGATCGAATCTAACACGATGCATACAGATAGATTATAGATAGATATATTATATTTCCTTTATTCGGTCTACTTTTACATAATTATCTTGATAAATGAACTATTAATTGTTTTAAATATTATATTTTTTGACATATTGCGTAAACTACTCGAAAGAATTTTAATTTATCTTGTTGTTTAAAGTAAATAATTAATATTGAATGACAAATGAATATATAATCATATATAATCGCAGATTTATCGGGTTTGATGATTCTTTCGATAGAGCGATAATTATTGTCCATTGTCTTTAAACAATGAGACGTCATCTATTAACAAATTTAACGTTATGTTTATAACAGCAAGTACAACGTATAATTCGGAAAGTAAACTTCATCACCTTGTTTGAATAAATCTGTGATTTTTTTCTTAGATAAGGATGGAAGAAAAAATGATGCAAAAAAATGTTACGAGAAACTTTGCTTCATTCTGAAACCAGAAGATTTAAGAATAAACGATTTTGTCAAATCTTTATTTACTTTATCACATTTTTTTAATTTTGACGAATTAAATCAAGCAATATGCAATTTACGTCAACTATGCTGGGAAACTACGTTCGGGCAAGAGCTCATCAAACTCATTGTTATGGATTTGGTAAGATACAGAACGAAATAAAAAAATAATAAATAAATTTACAATCTAAATTTATAATCTAATTTACAATCTAAATTAACAATTTATAATTTTATATGTAATTATAATTCCATTTAAATACCATTCAAATACCAATAATAAGCAAATCGATCTCTCGACTTGTCGAATTAATAAATATAAATTGCTTGTTATTTATTTTTTTAAAATATAATTGTTTATTGATAAATGTTTATTAGATACTCGCCATATTAAACACGTTTATTGCGGATTTTTTACGCGCCGTTTTCGTGCGTTTTATGAATAAGCATTGCTGCTGGGATCTAGAGAAACAATTCCCGCAATACGGTGACTTCAATATAGCTGATAACATTCTCCATTTAGTGAACAATCAAGGCATTGTTTGGATGGGAATGTTTTTCAGTCCTGGTTTAATGGCACTAAATTTAATTAAGCTTGGCGTTTTGATGTACTTACGTTCCTGGGCAGTTTTAACATGTAACGTACCTCACAAAGTGATCTTTCGAATCTCCAGGTTATTGAAATTATATTGCATTATTTGAAAAAAAAAAACTAGCTTTTGCCAAATAAATCAAATCATTGAAATATTTCTTTGAATAATTAAACGTTGCACTCTGATTCTGTCACTAATATATATTAATGGATTATATTAATATCGATTGTATTAATTTTTTTTTGTTTTACTTTTTACACCTGATCATAATTATTTGCTACAACCATCTTTAATACATTGCAGGTCTAATAATTTCTACTTCTTATTGTTATTAATTATGCTATCTCTCTGCGTATTGCCCGTCAGTTATTTTATAGTATATATCGAGCCTTCGCGGTACTGTGGTTCATTTTCTAATTATCCAAAGATTTATAATGTAGTGACGCAATATTTACAAAACACGTTTCCGACGCTAATTCAACGGTATGTCCCTGTCTTCCTCATGATAGTATTTGATATAAATTTGTTTGAAAATTAGATTGTCTTCCATCCGATCCATTACGATCAAAATAATTATGCATCTCGAATATGAAGAAAAAATATATATCTGTTAAGAACTTTATCTCTGTTTAGATGTCTCGATTTTGTCGTATCGCCATGCGTACTAATACAATTGATTATTGTAATGACGTTGATTATTTATTACGAGACATCTGTTGCTGGATCTTTGCGAGAAGAGAATAACGATTTAAAGGTAAAGACACATAAAAGAAACATGAGATATATAGATAAAGTTTCTTTTAAATGCATGACATATATGATGGAAAGAAAATAATATGATATGTTATTCCAGATGCAACGACGACAGCATATAGAAGAACATCGCAAATTATTTAAAATAAGAGAGATGAAAGAGAACAATCCCGATACTGCGCTATTGAGATGGAAACAGATTCTTCTGACGTTGCCACGGGCCAGCATGACTCAAAATTCCGAAATTACTGAAAATAGCTCAGATGACATACAGATTACAATTGGAGAGAGCTTGGAGGATACAATGGATAATAAGATGAACGATACTAAAGAGGATCAAATGTTGTCCGATCAAACATTGTCTAATTTTAACAATGAAAAATTATCTAAAATGCAATACCATTTAACGTAAAAAGTAAGACAGTACTAAAATAATGAAGTCGCAAAATATATGATTTTCTACGCAAATTTCAAATGTAATATTTAAATTATAATGTTCGTGAAACTCGCAATCGAGCAAAGAATGATTATGGAAATCGACAAAATAGAAAATGTACGTAGCGATATTCATGGAATTAAAATTGATAACGTGTCTGGAAATAGACTCAATAAGTAAGAATTTATTTAAAAAATGAGAAAAGAATAATAATATAATTATATTATTTTTCATTAGTTTTTCTTAATCTCGTACCATCTTCTCAAAATCCGTTCTGTTTACTAAGTTTAGTAAAACACTGAAAGTTTTCACCAATTCTCTTTAAAATTATAAATTAATATAAATGTAAATTAAAATAATATAAACATTAATATGTATTATAATCATTGCTTGCGCCTTCAAATCCATTATATTTACCATTGTCAATTTACTAAAAAATATTTGAAGCCATTTTGTGGTTATTATGTTTATTTCTACAAACATGTAAATGTGTAAAATGTCTATAAATATTTATAAATAACCGCGCACTTTTTTCTGAAAATGAAACAGCTTTGAACTTTCAACTCATTCTTCAAATCAGACTTGAGACGCACACCGCACGCAAAATCACACTTTGATTGAGCATTGGCACATTCCTAATTTAATCGTCATCTTATTATCAAATATAATAAGATAATTACATTACGTATAAAATATTTATAGCATTGAGCTGTCTCAAAATTAATTACATGTATATTAATATATTCTGCATATACATATATATATAAAAATATATATTTCTTATTTAACAATCATACGATTCGATCTTACGTTAGCACAAATCAATTACCAAATTATTTTTTCTTTATGTCGAAATGATTTAAAATGATCATCGATTAGAAAAAGTATAACTTAATTATTTAAGAAAAATGTTACATTATTGTAATATTTGTTATTGTAATACACTGGTTATAAATTAACTTTCAGATTTCCATTTACTGATGTAAATGTTAATTTTTCTTCGCCGGATACATTTTAATGTTTTTACTAGCTTACACCATATATAATGGAGACTGTATCAGCATCTTTGTACCAATCGCTTACGTTGCTCATCGAGGAGCACTGATGCCTCGCTCATAATTTTAGCAGTGGTTCGTACCAAGAATAATAATTGATATTCATCTATAACGGTTAAAGCTGCCTTCGTCTTGACAAGAGCATGAAGCACGTTTGCCCGCTCAAGGTCGAGCCATCTCTGAAGTGCCACTTCTCTCTCTCGTGGACCACCGAGTGGTACGTCAGCTGGACCCCACAATGAAAATTCCAACACGGATTTTACCTAATTGTCAAAGAATTAAATTTATTTTCTGCTAATTAAATTAAATATAATAAGTATAAGTACAAAATAAGATACTCCAAATAGAAAGAGAAAAATATAAAAAAAATCTAACATTATTATTTGATATTAATAAGCTTTTTGAAACAAGTTCTAATATATATATATATATATATATATATATATATATATATATATATATTATATAAAAAAAATA